ATAGTTCCTCTTTCACTTTCACGTCTTTTTTCCTCCTAGATTCTGCATATGAGAGAAAATGCAATATTTGTCTCTCTGAGTCAGACGTATTTCGCTTGATATGACAGCTCTATCCATTTTCCTGCAAATGACACAGTTTCGTTCTTGTTTATGGCTGAATAATACTTCTTTGTGTACTTACACACCACATTTTTTTTATTCATTCATCCACTGATGGACACCTAGGCTGGTCCTGTAGCTTGGCTATTGTGAATAGTGCTGTAATGAACATGGGATGCTGGTGTCTCTACTGTGTGCTGACTTAGGACATTCAGGTGTGTACCCAGGAGTGGTGTAGCAGGATCTTATGGTAGTTTTGTTTTTAGTTCTTAAGGAATCTCCATACTGATTTCCATGGTGGCTGCATGAGTTTACGTTCCCACCAGCAGTGTGTGAGGGCTCCTTTTCCCCACATCCTCGCCAGCATTTGCTGTTGTTTGTTTTCTTGGTGATTTTGACACCCTGACTGGGGTGAGAGGGAATCTGAATGCAGTTTCAGTTTCCTTTTCCCTGGTGGCCAAGGATTTTGGACCTATCTTCATCGTCTTCTTTGTTCTTTGGCGTTTAATTTTTCAAGTTCTTTATCTATTCTGGATAGCAATCTGCTCTCAGAATGACTAGCTGGCAAAGACTTTTCTTCTGTTCTTCAGGTGTCTCTTCACTTGCATAACTTTTTTTCCTTTTCTGTGGAGAAGCTTTTGAATTTGATGCAATCCTATTTTTCAATTCTTGCTCTGATTTCCTGAGTCTTACTCGGAAATTTGCTACGTGTACCTATATCTTCAAGTGCTTTCCTATAGTTTCAAAGTTTCAGATCTTACACTAGGGTCTTTGATCCATTTTGAGTTGATTTTTTTAGAGAGGGAGGGCTCTAGGTCAGTCTTCTGAATATAGATATCCAGCTTTCCCAGCACAATTGGTTAGGGCAGCTGTCTTCAGTGTATGTTCTGGCAACTGTAGACGCTTCTGTCTATTTCTGGGTCGATGTGCTATTTCAATGTCAGTACCTTGCTGCTTTTCTTACTATGACTTTGTAGTATAAATTGAAATCAGGCATTGTGATACCTCCAGAATTCCTCTTTTTGTTCAGGATTGCTTTGGCTATTTGGGGTCTTTTGTGCTTTCATTTGAATTTTAAGGTTTTTTTTCCTAGTTCTATAAAGAATGTCATTGGAATTTTATGGAGATTTCATTGAATCTATGTATCACTTTTGATAATAATATGACCATTTAAACAATATTAAAATTCTGCCAATTTGTGAATATGGGATGTCTTTCCATCTTTTAGTGTTCTTCAATCTCTTTCTTCATCATTTCATAGATTTCATTGTAGAGTTCTTTTACATCCTTGATTGGTTTTTTGTTTGTTTTTTTTTTTTTGATGGCACTGGAGCTTGAACTCCGGGCCCTCACCTTCAGCCATGAGCCACTTCACCATGAGCCACTCCACCAGCCCCTTTTTTGTGAAGGGCTTTTTCAGGATTGGGTCTCAAGAAATATTTGCCCTGGCTGGCTTCAAACCGTGATCCTCCTGATCTCCAATTCCTGTGTAGCTAAGATTACAGGCGTGAGCCACCGGTGCCTAGTGAGGTTGGTTTTTTTTTTTTTTTAAGTTTTTTTTGGTCTTACAGTGCTGGGGATGAAACTCAGGACTTGTACATGCTGGGGAAATGCTCTACTCCTGAGCTACATCCCTGGTCTTTAGGTATTTTTGAGGTTATTGTGACTTAGATTATTTTCCTGATTTCTTTCTCAGCATATTCCTTATTGATATATAAAAATGCTACTGATTTTTGCATGTTGATTTTGTATCCTGCTACTCTGCCGAAAGCGTTTTCTTGCCTTATTGCTCTGGCTAAGAATTCAAGCACTATATTGAATAAGAGTGGAGAGAGTGGACACCCTTGTCTTGTTACTGATTTTAGTGGAAATGGTTTCAGTTTTATCCCATCCAGTAAAATGCTGGTTATGGGTTTGTTGTACATAGCTTTTGTTATGTTCAGGTATGCTCTTCCCATTACTAGTCTCTTCAGTGCTTTTATCCTGAAAGGATGTCACGTTTGTTAAAGGCTTTTCTGCAGCTACAGAGATGGTCATGTGATTTTTGTCATTGATTCCATTTGTGTGCTACATTACGTTTATTGATTTGCATATGTTGAACCATCCTTGAATCCCTGGAATAAAGACAGCCTGATCATGGCGTATGATCTTTTCAATGTGCTGTTGAATTTGGTTTGTGAGTATTTTATTGAGGGTTTTTGAGTCTGTGTTCATTAAGTTGGTTTATAGTTTCGTTTTATTGTTGTATCCTTATCAGGTTTTGATGTCAGGGTATACTCACTTCATAGAATGAGTTTGGGAGAGTTACTTCAGTTTTTCTAAAATCCGAGACATCTTTATTTTTTTGTCTTCAATGTTTTATGAAGATTGAGATGAGAATAACATTCTAGGTGAAGGCCATTTCCCCTCAGTTTGTTAAAGACGTAATTCATGGTCTCCTGAAATTCATGCTGCCTCCCTTCCCTTCCTTTGTGGTGCTGCTTTGTGATTTAGATCTGGAATCTCTTGTCTTCTCAACTCTGGAGAATTCTGAGATGTTAGGTGTCTTTTCTGCCATTTTAAACACCTTTCTTTGAACTTCTGCACGCATAGCACATCCAGGCCTCTTGATCAGATCTCCATGTGTGTTAACTCTCTCAGGGGTGTGGAGTTCGTTTTGCTTCACAGATGATTCTGATTAGTCTTCTAAATACCATTTATTTCTAGAAATAGGCTGGAGACGCTGACTGTACCTGAGCCTTTCAATTTCTCCTTTAAAGTTTCTGCATGCCTAGATATCATCAGTCCTATCGTCCAATATATGAATTCTCTTTCTGCTGTGTTAAGTCTAGAATTCATCCCACCTATTGAGTTTTTTATTTACAATATTATCAACAAGATTTCAAGTTATTTCTATCTCATTGTTTTAAAAAATATCCTGGTCAGTTCTCATTTTGCAATTTCTTATCCTTTTAAATGTTTAGGCATTGCTCTTTTACTACTGAGATTTTAATGTTTGTCAGACGTTCACGATATGGAACAACTTCCTAAATCAAATGTTCATTTTAATCTGACTTTTTTGGGGGATGGTACTTGGGCTTGAACTCAGGGCCTCACACTTGTTAGGCAGGTGCTCTACCACTTGAGCCACTCTGTCAGCCCTATTTTTGTGTTGGGTGTTTTTCAGGTAGGGTCTCATGAACTATTTGTCCAGGCTAGCTTCCTGATCTCTGCCTCCTGAGTAGCTAGGATTATAGGTGTGAGCCACTAGTACCCGGCCATTTTAACCTGTCTTTTTCGAGTGAAATTTCTTTGCTATTTTGGGATCTTGCCATGTTAGCTCATTTTAAGGTGGGGACATTGTGTCTGCACCTTGCCTTTCTCTTTTACCTTCTGTCCTCATTCCCTGTCTAGCAATTTTTCACTATTTCTGCCTCAACCGTGCTCGAAGATCTCTGTTCTGCTCTGACACTTTTAATTTGGGATCTGTAAGATATAGAAAACATGTTCAAAGATCAGGACAGACACAAGACGCAAGATGTAATAAATACTTTATTACATATAGGCCCAGGGCCATGGCACATCCAGAAGCTACACATAAGCATGGGAACACACATGCACATGCCCCCCACAATCACAGAAGTTGGGGAGTGCATGTCATTGAGTGTGAAACTGGGGCACTCACTTTTATTAGGGTGCAGGGTTGGGAACACAGCACCAGGGGAGATGTGAAATTTGAAAAACAAAAGCAGCAAGATGAAACCCTTCCCAGGAGGGGGTTGATCTGGAAATGCTGCTGGCCCATCCCAGGGCAGATGGGTTTCGGGAGAGAGTGCTCTAACCCTGCAAAGGAGAATGGAATTAGGGACTTACCATCTCAGCCAGATGTCCAAATATGGATGCACATGAGGAAGCAAATTACCACACATTTTGACACAGACATGGAAGGTGTCACAGATGAAGCCCTGTCAGAGACCAGCTTGGTCCAGCACCTCTCTGAGGCTGCATCTGTGTCCTCTTGCCTTCCTAGGCCCACATCTCCCCATTGAGTTGTAACAAGTTCTGGCCCCTGGGCTGCCTAAGGAAGGGCTTTTTGGCAACTTTCTGGGGTCAGGGAACTCACACCTCAGCCCACAGAAGATGGACCCCTGACCTTCTGCTGGTCTCAGGCCTAGCTGAAAGTGGGCTGTGGCCTCAGCCCCTTCACCAGCCTGTGTTTCTTCTTCCCCACTGCTGATTTTATGTACATGTGTGTGTGTGCATATGTGTGTACACATGCATCTGTCTTGGTTCTCTGGGTTTGACCACTGCAAAGTATGCAGCAGGAGGCCTTGTGCACACCCTGCTGGGCAGGGTGCTCATCCTCTTTAAATGTATGTGTGCTCATGTTCACACAGCATGGTCCTTCTTTCTTCAGGATGAATCTGAGGTTAAATGACCTGTCCAGGGACACAGGACAGTCACCAAGATGGCCACAGATCCCAGGGTGCTCTGACTCCTACCAGCATCCTCTGTGAAGCAGGCATGTCGGCCAACCGTGTGACAATGCAGGTGGGCTGAGGGGTCACTGCCATTGCACACTCCCTGGCGGCTCCCCACACGGGAGGTCGTACACCTCCACTCACACTCACTTCCCTGCCAGGCACAGTCTGCAGGCCTGCTGCTCTGGACAGCTGCCCTGTCCTGCATCCTCTGGGGATGGGCGCTGTTATTCAGCAACTTCCAACAATGATGACATTTCATCTGCTCCACTGAGGAACTGGCCATGGTTTATGGCCAGGAAGGGACAGGTTGGTCCTCTGTGCCAAGTTCCCCAGGGACGCGGGGCCAAGCAGTATAAATGGCAGGTGTGTGAGGACCCAGCACAGCCTCTCCCAGCCTCACAAGTGACCTGTTGGGTGGCCATGCGTGCAGACCCCAAGATGAAAACCCTGCTCCTGGTCTTTGGTCTGGGCCTCATTGCTGCCATGCAGGCGCAGACCCTCCCAGCCGTGGAGGAGGATCAGGATGTGAGGATCAGATGGGCCAGAGGGCTGCAGGGCAGGGGGGCTGAGACTGCTGGTCGAAGGCCCCATTCCTCCCCTCTCTCCAAGGAGACCCTCACTTTAAGACAGCCCTTGAACCCCTGCCCTGAGGGATGTTAGACAGAGTACAGGGTGTCTGGTCCAGATAGGCCAGGGTTCAAAGGGGCTGGGGTGGGTGGGGAAGTCCAGCACCCCTCACGTTTTCCTGGGACTCGGTTCAGCCTCGTGATAGCAGCGTATGACTTTGAGGGGCAGGGGGACAGGGAATGTTCCAGGTGAAAGTACACTCTGGGGCTACAGACTAGGAAGGGGGCATCCATGGAAGGTTGCCCGAACCCTGATGGACAGGTGCCTTCTATAGGTCTCAGGCACATGGTATTTGAAGGCTGTGGCATCAGATAAGGGGATTCCTGGGAAGATGCTGGGGTCTGTGTCTGTGACCCCCATGACTGTCAAGATCCTGGAGGAGGGAAGCCTAGAAATCAAGTTCACTGCCCGGTGAGTGTCTGCCGGCCATGAGGCAAGGGGACTGCTTGGCCTTTGCTTGCCCATGCAGGAGAGCCAGGGACTGGGTCGGCAGGCAGACTGTGTTGATCGTCCTGCACAGCCTCTGGGACACTCGGCACCTACAGCTTCAGAAGCACAAGGACACTGAGGGTGCCTGGTTGGGAGGGGTGCCGAGGACAGGGTGGCTAGAATGGACTTGTGGGCTGGGAAAGGTGTTTCCCATTTTCTCCCCTCATGGGAGAACATCTGTCAACCACCAAGGCCCTCTAGGGATTGGTGTGTCACTCCCAGAACAATCACAGCTGTCAGTTCTGCCAAGTGAATCCTATACCTGTAACTAGCCTAGTAAATTTCTGCTTTGGAGATCTGCAGAGATGGGGCTTGCTGAATGACCAAGATGGGGTGCAAGATATCTGGGAGAAGCCTTGTTAAATAATGCATGAACACCTTTGAAATCCCTGTGGGGTTCTTCTCACCTGTGTGACTTCCCACCTGTGTGGCTCCCCATCTGTGGCTTCCACCTGGGCATCTCATCTCACATCTTTGTGGGTGACTCCCACCTGAGCCGCATGGCAGGATCTCTGCTCTGGTCCTAGCAATCAATCCTTAGGCAGTCACCAACACTGGAGCTCGGTTTTCCCCCACAGACTCCCTGACACTTTTACTCACTGGGCCAGGTGTCAGTGTATGTGCAGCCGGTCTTTGAATGTCTCTAGAGACAAAGGCCACCTGGAGAGGACCAGGACAGGGTAAGGGTCAGGAAGAGGAATGATGTCTGCAGACCCTGCAGCCCTCTGGTAAGGAACAGGAGTGGGTAATGAGTACAGCCGTCTATAGGTACGACATGAGCTCTGGCCACTGCAGTACTCAGGGGACTGCCAAGTGTGACATGGAAGGCCAGCTGTTGCCTGAATCTAGATGTGGTGAAGCTCATGCTTCCTAGGGCTGCACTGTGGCTGTTCACGGTACAGGAGCCCACGACAGGCAGCATTACTGACAGAACTTCCTTTTCCAGGATCTCAGGTCAATGCTGGAAGATAACCACCGTCCTAGAGAAAACCGACGAGCCTGGCAAATACACAGCCTGTGAGTCACAGAGCCTGTGAGGGCTGCATCCCTATCACCTGCGGGACAGTGGAGACCAGCCAGGGTCCTTTCAGGGTGACCTTTTGGTCTGCAAACCTTTGTCTCCTTTCTATCTCTATTATGTACTCATCTCCCTCCCACCTGTCTATTGGCCTTAAAGATCTGATTCCGGACATCAAAAATCTCACCACATGTGGTGTTTGTCCCCAGGGGGAGACTGGACTTGTCCACTCTTTCCCATGGGCTATGGTTGAGCCCCAGGCAGGGATCAGGAGCAGGTCTATATTTGGCAGCTGGTGGCTGAGTTGGCCAGAGGCAACTTGTCAATGTCATACCTTAAGCCCGCTTATGGGACATTGGCTTGGGATGTAGCCATCTCTCAGGTGTGTTGGGTCCCTGGGAAGTGGGGACCTCATTGACTGGGCTCTGGCCTGGGGAGGAAACTGAGCCTGGGAGCCCTGGGCAACTGGCAGTTCTGGGCCGGGTGTGGAGCCTTCCTTAAAGTCCTTCCTGAAGGACTTGTGTCACTGTCCCTCTGCAGATGGGGGCAGGCAAGTGGTGCACATCATTAAGTCAGATGTGGAGGACCACTACATCCTCTATGGTGTGGGCAAGCTGGCTGGGCATCAGATCCAAATGGCAAAGCTTGTGGGTGAGTCACATGTTCCAGAAGCCTCTATCTAGATGTCACACTGTCACAGCATGGGCCAAGGACTCAATGAGGACAAACCTTTCAGTGACATCCCTGAGCACTGTTCTTGTTGGGGGGGAGTGGACAGCAGAGGGCAGAATGGGAATGGAAACAGAAGCAGGAATGCAAAGTCCACCTCCAGGCAGACAGTGGGTGTCAGTGGCTTTCCTGCCTGAAGATAAAACCTGGGGCCTCTTGTGCTCTCCCCAGGGCCAGGCAGGTACACACACAGAGCAGTGGGATGGCATGGTATCACGAGCCCCAGAAAGATGTGCTTCCCTGGCTGGCATTGATCCTGCCACTTCTTTCCTATCCAGAGAGAGGTGCAGGTGTATACTGAAGGGAGGGTGTCCGCCATGGCTCCCGGGTCAGCTGTCAAGGGCACCTGGTGTGACACTCATGGCCCCCTGGTCCTCCTTTCCTAGCCAGGCTCTCCTCTCAGCCTCAGGCCTCCAAGCCCCACCCCTCTTGTGGGTGGGTGAGATCTCTCTCCCCAGCTCTGCAGTTGGTCAGCCCTCTAGGCTGGGGTGGATAAGTCAGCAACTCCTTAGACTGCTGCCCTCACTCCTGTCTCCCCTGGCCTTACCTACAGGCAGAGACCCGGAAATCAACCAGGAAGCCCTGAAGGATTTCAAGGAGTTTTCAGGATTTACAGGACTCGACTCGGAGAATATGATCATCCCCCAGCAAAGAGGTAAGGAGATTGGCCTGCTGAGTTCTCTCAGGCCCCACAGGAGGGAAAGTCACCAAGTCATTTCACAGGCACAGGCTACATCTCATCCTGGCTTTGTCCCTTCTGGGGTCATGGGGGATGGCTGGCGAATGGAGGGCCCTGGGCTCTGACTGAATTCCTGTGGTCTTCTGAATCATGTTTTTCTTTCTTTGACAGAAACCTGCCCTCCAAGTTTAGGATTTGGGTAAGAGATCAGTTCCAGGGGACACTTAACATCCCAGTACTGGGTGTCCATAGGACTTCAAAAGGCCCTGTGGTCTATCCCCCACCCCTGCTCCTACCTGGGCAGGAGAGCCCCACCTGTAATGCAGGTGTGATCCCTGCTTCTGCAGGCATCCCTGCCCAGGGGCGTTAGCTCAGATTTCCTTCTCAGATGTCATTCCTGGGCAGTGAGGAACCTGCTGTCCTGTCCTCTCCTGAGGTTAGAACTGGAGGACACAATGTCCCTCTCCCTGTATCCTCCAGTATGCTTTCCTCTGGTGGGAAATTCCTCCCCAGCACCTCCCACACCCCTCAGTCGTCACTATGACTCTGTTTACCCCATGAGCTGCTTTAAAGAAATGTGGCAGCCATCGCTGTGGGCTTCAGAATTCCTGGGTCCCTTATTGCTGTGTGATGTTTGGAAGCTGGAGGTTCAGAGACTTGTCCAATGTCACCTGCCCAGGTGTGGACAGAGCCAGATGCCAAACAGCATCCCTGTCCTTCCCTTGTCATTCTTTGTCCTGAAGTCACCTGTCCTCCTCCCCCTCACACATAGGCATGGAGCTTTGTAGGCAGCCTTAGGGAAGAACCCCCTTCTCTTTGTCCTGATGTGGTGGATAGAGTCCCCAGGAACCCAGCATCGCCTCTCTGCAGGCCCCTTCCCAACTTTCTCTCCTGACATCCCCCTTCTTTCTAGGTCAAGGAGCTTATGGCTCTGAAGCTGCCCTGGACACCGTTCTGAATCTCTGTCCTGAGGACCATGGAAAGAGCCCCTTTCTGTGATCTAGCTGGCTCCACCCACCTGCCTCCCTCTGCCCTAAACTTCTCCCCAGGTTCTCAATAAAGAGCTTCAGCAAGCAGTTCCTGTGATGCTGGCTATTTGTGGGGTCCCTTGATGGGCTTCCCTGGGCTGCCTTGGGGGTCTGCTGAGAGTTGTGTTAGGGGTGTGGATAGAAATGATGGGAGGACCTACCATCATCTTGGTTTTGTGGTGGGTGCACAGGCCAAAAGGCACAAGACCTGGCTGCAGGGGTGGGAACCAGCAGCTGTGCCCAAGGGTCCCCTGAGTGATTTCTTCTGGTATGTCACCCAAGAGTCCCTGCTTTGGAGTGGTGGATTGGTGGCAGGTCAGGGTCTATGCCATGGTGTCATACAACTCAGACCTGTGTGGTCTGCAACACAGTGGAACTTCATTCCCAGGTGGGACAGGACAGGTTGCCTGGACCATTGGCCTGGTCCTGCGTGAACAAGTGGGTATGGGGATAGGCTGGGGCCCAGCAGGATGGGGTAGGGTATGGCCAGGGCTTGAGCTGGCTACAGAGTCAGAGTCCACCTTCAGTAACTCTGCAGGAGCTTGAGCTGCGCCTGGGAGGGTTTGGGAAATTGAGTCACCAGCATGGCTGGACCATCCACAGGCGTTGACATGTTCAGAGCGTTTCCTGAGGTCCGGGGGTCCTATAAGGGGTAAAGGTACTTTTGATGGCACAACTGCATACAGTGACCCTTGGGGAAATATGAGGCAGAACTCTTGTTGCTTGTAGCTCTGACAGAGAAGCTAGGCAGGATCATATGGGTTTGAATAATTTGGGCGCTCTAGGGCACAAAGGCTGTTCCTAGCTGCTAGGTACCTGTGGCCATTAGGATTTGTGCATATGGCTCCAGAGTGTGAGAACAGATGAGGGATGTGGTCAGGGTTGGACCAACAGCTGTGCAGGAAGAGGACTGACTGGCCTCCAGCCAGGGCCTCCAAACTGGCTCAACACACTGTTGTCAAACACGGCTATTCCACTTGGGCTCTGCCTTCAGTATATCAAGAATGGACCTGGTTCTTATGGAGACTGGACTATTTTCATGAGACTATCTTCAAGTTCACTGAATCTTTTCAATTTTCCTGTTAGCCTTATCTAGTGTCTCTTAATTTCACATGCTGTGATTTCCAGAACTGGGATTTGAACTCAGGGTCTCATGCTTGCTAGGCAGGTGCTCTACCACTTGAGCCACTCTTTCAGCCCCACCCTGTGATTTCCACTGTGGAATTCTCATTTGGTTGCTGCTTACAGCTCCTATTTCTCTGCTGAGGTTTATCTTTTTGTTCATGAAGAGCACATTTCTGCTACCCCGAGGTGATGCTAGAGCAACTTCTTTAGAGGCACAGTCAGCTAATTCTAGCATCTGCGGTGTCTCGGTCAGTTGTGTGTCTTGAGAGTGGGCCAGAGTTTTCCGTGTCTTCATATGTTGATTATTTTGATTGTATCCTGAACATTGTGGATGATGGGTAAACTCTGGGCTTTGTTATTTCCTCTAAAGAGTATTGGTTTTTAAGCAGGAAGTTGATTTGTCTGAACCCTAACTGTAAGTGCTGCTTCCCCAGCGGTGGGTGGCGCTCGGGTCACAGTTCAGTCATCAGTTCAGCCTTGGCGGAGCTGCTTGGCATCTTCTGTGCATTTGTGTTTTAGGAGTCAGCTTGATATTTTAGACAGTTTGTATGGAACATGGGGCTCTTCCTTTGGAGCTCTCTTCTTTCCCAGGCTTTTTTTCATTTCTCAGCAGCTATAATTCCCCTTGCCTCTGTCTTCTGTTTTGAAGCCAACAAGATGGCTTTCTAGCCAAACTGAATCTGCTCCCTGTGGTGAAGATGGAGCCTGTCTTCCAGAAAGGCTTAGGTAGCCAGGAGATTCAGAGGTCTGCCCCAGGCCAAAACAAAACCCATTCTGAAAAATAGCTAAAGCAAAAACAATTGCTACTCGAGGGTGGCTTGGTTGGAAAGGAGCTGTGTGGCTATGATGGGAAGGTGAACTTGTACCATTTAGTAAATAGATGCACTTTACAGATGTGGAAGAGGTGCAGTTGAACTACAAAATGGTCCAGGTCTCCAGAGTCATCCATTCTGCACTTGTGACCACCTGTTGCTGCTGAACAGGGGTCTTTGACCCAGTTTGTCTTGACTAGACAAGTACATGGACTGCATGTGCAGTCACTATACAGAAGAAGAGAATGCGTATCTGAGGAGGGTTTCTGGGACCTGCACAGAGCACACTCTGATGCCTCTGCCCCACTCTGCCTGTAGCTGACTGAAGACCACGCTCAGGGACGTTACTGTGATCCCATCACCCTCTGTGTGGTCCTAGCATCTCCTGCACCCAGAGACAGTTTTCAGGCAAAGAGCCACGGGCTTGTGATTGACACTTCAGGGAGGACGAGGTGTTCTCCTCACCCCTCATGTTACTCAGCCGTCTGGGACTGTGGCTCTCTCAAAGAGAAAGATAACATAAGCACGAGGGTTGGTGGGACAGGTCCCTGGTGCTCCAGCTGACTCTGAGATTTACCTGACCATCACCATCTTTCTCCTCTACCTCCCATTCTGGGTGCCCTTGTCCCTCTGCCCAGTGTGGGAACCAGCCACTTATTTCTGTGCAAAGGACCCTTTTTTTCTGCTGAGCAGGGACCTTGGCCTTGTCTAGATAATTTTCCATCATATATATGGAGTCACTCACCATAAAGGCCTCTGAGCACCTTGTCCCGAGCCCTTGCTGGGCTGTGCTCACTGAAGGTGCCTCATCACAATCATCCCTGGACACAGGGGAGCCAGCAGGTGTTCTGTCACCCCTGAGTTCCTCCTCTGCTCCTCCCAGGAACAGCAGCCCTCCAGCTCACAGTAGTCAGGGAAAGTTGCTCACCAGTGTACTGTGATTCCTTTCTGTACCTGCTCTTCCAGGGGTGAGAGCCCCAAAAGGATTGGGCTCTGGCCACTGCAGCAGGCTTGGTGGAGCACTTACTGCAGGTCCTGGAGGAAGTGCCTCCACTTGTGGCATCTCATGGGATGAGGGTTTTCTTTGAGAACAATTCCCCTTGTCTTTTTCATTTGTGTGGCCAGTTGAAACCCCCCAAATTTATCTTGGTGTAGTCACTAGGGGCTCCTAGCCTAAACGTTTTGATTGTGCGGCCTGATTTTAGGACAGAACTGTTGAGCACACAAGGAAGGAGACAGAAGGAAACACGTGCTACTTTTAGCAGGGAACAGGGTAAGCCCAGAGCTCACTGCCTTTGTCCCCTTGTGGGGTCCCTACCTGTCAGAGGGAGGAGGAGAGAGCGGGGCTCAAGTGAAAAATGACAGAGGGTGGTCAGTGAGAATGTGATTAGCCAGTGGCCCTGTCCTTCCTGAGGGTCACATGTGAAGGAGCGTCTTTTGGGTCTGTGAGAGAGACACTTTGGGGTTAGATGAGTTACACAGTTGCGAGCCCCTTTTAGCAAATGCTCTAAGAAGGAGAGGTCAGGAGCTGGCCAGAGCCAACAGAACATTCTTCTGGTGGCATGAGGTCCTCGGGCAAGCACCGATGGGGACTGGGGTCCCTGGGCCACTGCACTGTGCCTCTTGCTGCTGGTTTTGTGGGTCCAGCAAGCGGAAGCTGTCTAAGGCTCCTATGTGCCCAGGAGGAAGATGGTGGGAAGAGCTTCTCCCCCACCTCAGTCAGAGCGCATTTCCTCACGGCTTTCCCCATCACCTCACTCAGTTATTCGTCTTCCTCTACCCTCAGTAAGTGACACCTAGGAATAGTTGCCTCTCTCTGGCTGACCACTGGCTCTCCCAGTGTCTGTGTGCATCTGACTTGGCTTGTATTTGCAGGGGACAGTGGGGCACCTTCTATACAGAAAGTGGGATGTGGGGACACAGGACATGAAGTGACACCACAGTGACTTCAAGTGCTGACTGTGGCTGCTCATGGGGACAAAGTCCCCAGGGGAAGCAGGGCTTTGGGACACCAACCCACACCTGGCCATAAAGGTAGTGAGGACCACTGGGGCTGATGGTGGGTGCCTGTTTCTGACTGCACTGGAGGTTTCAGAAAGGAAGGGTCAAGCTTGGAGCTCAAGTAAAAGTCAAAAACCTAGAGAGACAGAATGGTGTCTCTACTATAACGAGACTGTTACCGCCACAGGGCAGCAGTGGCTGGAAATCAGACCCCAAATGGAATAGTGTGGGTTGCAGAAATGCTTGGTGAGGTGCATGAAACTCTCCAGGTCTCTCATGTGAACGCTGGGTCACCAGGAGGGAGGCCTGACCCACAGAAGTGGGACAGTTATGCGAGCTCAGGTGGAAGTGAGAGTCGTCTCCTCCCCTCTCCAGCCCCCAGAACTCTGCGAGTCCAGCGCTTGCTGCCACAGGCTCACACACAACACCCCAGTCTTTCTTTTCACTGCTTCAAGGCCTCACGGCTCAGCGGGGTGGTTTCTTCCAAGGCTCCAGAGGAGATCTGGTTTCTGCCTTTCCCAGAGTCAGGGGCCACCACATTCCTTGTCCTGTGACTCCTCTTCTGTCTTCGGTTGCAGTGCAGCAACTTGTCTCCTTTGGCCCTAATATAACTCCGTCTGTCTGTTGTCTGTCCATCTGTCTGTCTCTGGGTCCAGCCAGATAATCCAGGCTACTCTCACCCCAGGATCCTTTACTGAATCATGTCTGCAAAGCTCCTTTTACCATAGAGTCACGCTTGCACAGGTTCTGAAGATGAGGGCATGGACTCGTTTGGGGGCCACTATGCACCCTACCGCACGGGGGAAATTGACAACTAATAGGGTTTCTGCAAAGGAACAGGAAAAACTCAGGGAGCAACAGGTCCCGAGCAGAATCAGCAATGGGGAGTGAGGAGCGTCGTCTTCGCGCGGTGTGGTCCGGGGCGGTCGCTCAAGGAGTGAGTAGGACGCTTTTCACTGAGGCGTAAACTGCATCACCCTCTGGAATTGTATCATTCACTGGTTTCAGTAGTTCACAGGCCTCAGAGTCATCC